GTGATGATTGGAGCAAGAAATCAAGAAAGGTTGCATTGGAAACGAAAAATTCCAGATTTCTGGAAAATTTTAGCCCATTCTGTCTGGTTTTATTGCATCATGTTAGAGGCCAAATTAGGCTTGGTATAAAACATAAAAGTTGTATAGAATGGTATTTTATAGGTGTCTACAAAATTTTAGCACAATCGGAGCAACGTAGCCTGTGAAAATACCAAAATACCTTTGCTGCCCTAGGATATTTCCAGTGATCCGTTTTAGACAGTTCATCCAGTTGACTGCATCTGTTCACTAAGATCCATGCTGATTTAGCCATTTTTGAAAACATGAAAGTTTTAGTATTCTGTCTTAGCTTTTAAACGCCTCAAAGAACGCCTTAAACGGACTTTGGTAGCCTGAGATATGGCCATTTAAATGTAGTATGGTTAATTAGCCGATTTGTTGGAACCTGGTTCGGTGAACTTGGAATTTGACTGGGTTACACTGGAAATTTGACCAAGTGATCTTCATGAAAGTTGTAGGACTTCGTCTTAGAAATGTTATAAGTTGCACCTCAATCCGATAAGCGTAGCTTAGGTTGAGTCCGTTACGCAAAACTCTATGAAATCTGTCTTTTACTAAAGCTTATTTCCGCATTTGTTATTAGTTGATTTATGTCCTTGTATGGTCTTGAGCCTATTGGATGGCTATTGAAGTTAGATTGTTGTGTGTGTACCTTTGGATTTGAATGAGAAAAATAATGAAGCCAAAATGGCTGGAAAATTAGGTAAACACAAAGGGCATGCTGCCCAAATTTACGCTCGAGGACTAGAGAAATATACTTGCGATTTGAGTAAAGTTGGTAAATGAATATCACTTGAACCATTTGGGACATTGGCTACTTTGTTTATCGAGGGTTATACGTTAGAACCTAGCCGGACTTGTACCCTTGGAAAATAAAATAATGACTGCTCGAAGTATGTTTTCCTTGTACTTTTGACTCAAATGACATTTTCAAGTATAATGTTATAAAGTTATATAGTTTGAAAAGCGAGCGAGTATTTCACGAATATTCTCCAAGTGAATTTCTATGTCTTGATTCTTATTGAACGAAATGTCTAAGTTTCGAACCCTAGTTGATTTTTAAAGTTCTTAAACAAAGTTTTATCGCAGATTTGGACTCCGAACCCGGAGTATAACCCAGACGTGGTTACTAGAGGCACTACTTTTGGTGAGTGCTTTCAAATACCGAATTGAACTTGATACTTGTAATTGACACGTGACCAACGTGATTACATGTTATATACGTGAATTTGTTAGGGCGAGAGTGTACTTTATCGCACTTGCTCTCACGTGATATATACTTTTTTATTGTTGCAATTAACTTGATATACTTGTACTTGATTTGTAAGTGTGGAGCGGCAGTATGTACCACACTCAATCCGAGTCAAAGGTCACTTTTCCTCCACCAATCAAATTTAAGCTTAGGAAGACCTTAGAAGCTTCAATGTTACTAATATCTTACTTTGCTAAGCCTCACACTATGGCCCCAATAACTTTTAATCTTTGCAATTAACTCCATAGTTCACCAACTAGTTGTTAAAAAAAACGCATGTATCGCACTAGCGGGTCCCACGTTCAAAATACACTACTAATGTCACATGAACTATCTTCTAGCGAAAAATGTCTTGGAACTTAATTCCCTTATATTAATAGCTAAAAAATTAATATAATAAAGGAAAGTATAGAAAATGTCTGCGCGGAAGTAAAATAAGAGCTAGAGAATAAGAAAAATATCGAGTTCTCACCGTTTTTCCTTAACTCGCACGTACTAGGGTTTTCACTTACAATTCACTAACTTATTATTATTACTTCTAATCACATATTTCATAACACCTAAAACTCACTCTTAATTACCAAATTTGATCCACACTCTGCACCGGATAGTCACACTACGGATAGACGTAAAAACCCTAATTCGCGCTAACTTGAAATCGAAAAGAGAAAACCCTTACTTCTATATTCATATGCACTTGTTGTGGGGTGATTGGGTAGTAGGACTATTATAAAGTAATAAATTTCAAATAAAAGGGAATTTTAAGAAAAAATATAAGGAAATTTTTTCCAGTCGTCACTTAACCACTCACTTGGTCTCTTAATGAGCCTACATTTGAGTGGGAAATGAACCTAGAATGTTAATGATTTCACTCGTTGCCCTAGGATTGGGAAACGGAGGCGATCGTAACCGAGATACTTGACGTTTGATCACTGCATTGCTTGACAGGTGAGTGTTCCATTACCTGCTACCTACTTATGTGAAATATTTGAATACTTGATTTACGACTGTTTGAGCCAAACCTTGTTTTGATAAAATGGAGACGAGCGTGTACTTTATCGCACTCGACCTCCCTCATTTTTCACTGAGGTTCTGTATACTACTATTATGAGATGTGATTTCCCTATATGTGACTGTACTTGAGTTGTTTGGGTGATACCCCATCAACTACTGCTACTGTTTGGGTACCCAACCTCATAGGTGAGTCGGTTGTATCGAGCTAACAAAGGCTTGGTCGAGAAGGCCAATAAACCTTGGGGACTATTTATTGAACACTAGAAACCGGTATACTCAAGTATTACCTAACTATTGTTTATGGAGTGCGGGCCCGATAGGGGTTGACTGGCGGACAGAAATTGGAGGAAGTAGTGTTCTACAGACTTTATATTCTTTAAATGCAAACGTTGACAGAGAGTCAACGGACCCCGGTATGATCAAGCTCAAGGGGATTTGGCTTTTGGAAGCCACCCGTATCCTTGAATTGAACTGTGATTAAATTGTTATTGTATTATACGGTGTTTACTTGGATTATATTATGCCTTTATTTGGCTATGTGCTTACTTGTTTTACTTGGAATCTCACTGAGTTTTAACTCACCCCACTCCCTTTGTTTTCCTTAACAGATCGGGGATGGACTTGTAGTCAAGAGCTTTCTTAGCCTTATCTTTTACTTGAACTTGTACTTCGAATTGTAACATTTTGCGTAGTTGGCTTTACTTTTGACTCTTGTAAGTTTGAATTCATAAGTTCGACTTATATTATGTAATTGTAGTATGGAGTGGTAAGTGTGACATTTAGCTTGACATTTTCCGTTTGGAAAGTTGGTTTGATGATTATATGCCATTAGGGTTTGTACACTTTGACTTGAAGATATCTCACTGGTTATCTTGAGTTGCTAGTCCTTTGATCGACCAAGCCCCGGTGAGAGCTGGGCAGATAGTTCGCTAATACCCTAGGGAGAGGTAGGGCTGTCACAGGTGGTATCAGAGCCTAGGTTTGAATTGGCCTGGGCGTGTTAGGAATTTTTGACTTGAGGATTAAATTTGATTATTTCCCCTTAAGAGTAATTAAGTTTTCTCTACACTTTGTGTAGGATGGATGGACATAGTGGCCCTAGTAATAGTCCAGTTGGCGAGCCACCCCGTGGAGTACTCCCGATGATTAAGTACCAGATTAGGCCACGAGGAGCCACTGTGCATTGAAGTCCGGCTAACCGCCATCGGTATTACGAGTGCCGCCATACCCATGCCTACCCCAATACTATAGTTTTGGCCGTGGTAGAGGAAAGGAAGGAGTTAGCGAAGGACAATGCTAGGCTTGAAGCCGAAGTGAATCAGCTAAAGGAAACTAATAAGATGCAAGCCGAGCAAATTAAGAAGCTCGAGTATGATATGGTTGAGAGCCAGGAAAGGATTGATGATCTTTGCGCGCAGCTGGGGGAAGCTCAGGAGCACATGGTTACGAGAGCTATGAAGGTGAGGATTAGAGTCTAGTCGATCCTGAACATTTGTGATGACCTACTTGGAGATGTGAGCGACGAGGCTTCCCACGTCGGAGGCGAGGCAGGAGCTGAACCTGTCCAGTACGGGAGGTCAGCTAGTCCCGCAGTAGATTAGGTCTTCACTTTTAGGTTACAATTGTGGATGATTTTGAGTATTGTACATATAAAGGATAGGGGATGTGGTGACTTGGTGGTTGTACAGTTTTCTTTTGACTACGTACACTGGCTTTTGTATGATATGACTTGATGAACTGTGCCTGTACTTTTGAGACTCGTACTTGCTACTTCTAGCCTTGTTAGCTTGTAAATGACTGCTATGACCTTTGAATGTATTATACTTTGACTTTTGACTTTGACTTTTGACTTGACTTTATTTCGAATTGGCATTTAACTGCTTTGTGCTTTTCCTTGCTTATCGTGATTTCTACTTCCTTTTTTTTGACTTTTGGCTTGAATAAGCATCTATTGCATATCCGAAACTTGCTTACCTATTAGTTATAATATTTAAACCCTCGCCAGTGAGTGATAATGAAAGGTAGACGACTACGTGGTCGAGGCCGTAAACGTGAAACCAGGCAGACCCAGGACCAAGAGGAGGAACAAGGGTCTGTAGCCAACCAGAATCAAGGACCCAGAAATGAAGGAGGGGACCAGGTTGCTACAGCTATCAATCGTATGACTGATTTACTGGCCCGTTTGGTTGACCAGCAAGGTCAAGTACTTGGTAACCAGCAAAGGGACCCTGAGGTAAGTAAAGATAGGGCCCTGGAATGGTTCCAAAAGTTCGCTCCTCCAAAATTTCTTGGGGGACCCGATCTGGAAGTTGCCAAGAACTGGTTTGAGCAAATGGAGGATATATTCAATGCGTTACATTACACTGAAGAGAGACAAGTAACTTTTGCCATTTTTCAGTTAGAAGATACGGCCCATTCCTGGTGGAACATAGTAAGGGCAAAGTGGGACAGGGAGCAAATCCCACATACTTGGTTAAACTTCGCTAGGGAATTTAATAAGAAGTTCCTCCTACCTTTAATCTAGGAGAAAAGAGAGGACGAGTTTATCAAACTGTGCTGAGGCACTTCAAGTGTGGCAGAATATGAGATCCAGTTCACCCGACTCTCCAAGTTTGCTTCAGAATTGGTAGTTAATGCGTAAAAGCGCATAAGGCGGTTTATACAAGGTTTGAATATGAAAATTCAAAAGGACTTAGCCACTGCTCAAATCGATACATTTAAAAATGCTCTTGACAAAGCTCAACGAGTAGAGCAGGCCCGACTTCAAGTTCGGACCTTTCAAGCCAAGAAACGTGGTGCATCTAGTAGTGCTCCTGGGCGAGATGATCAGAATGTACCACATCCTAAGTTTGGAAGAGGTGCGGGTGGAGTCCGAATTGCTGGGACACCGAGAGGAGGAGCTTCATCCAGAGGGGTTCAAAGTGGAAAAGGACAAGGACAACATAGGACTATATCTCAAGGAGTTCCTACACCCACTCCTCGCGCAAGCTGTGGATATTGTGGTAGGGCAAACCACATCGAGGACGCTTGCTGGCGAAAATTGAAGAAATGTTTCCGTTGTGGAAGTTTCAAACATCAGATCGCCACTTTTCTTGTTAAGAACCGTGAAGGAAACGAGGGTGCACAGCCGGAGAAGTCAAACCCTAAGCAACCAACTGCTAGTGGGAGTAGACCAAAATCCTCTACTAGGGTTTTTGCCTTGGACTATCAGCGAGCCTCTGAGTCCTCTAAGGTAGTAGAAGGTATAATTCCCGTATTCCACCGCTTAGTTAAACTTTTAATTGACCCTGGAGCAACCCATTCACTTGTGAATCCTGCCTTTATGTGTGGTATTGATGTGAATCCTGTTAAATTGCCCTTTGACTTCGAAGTTAAAGCACCTACCGGGGATCAAAGCCTAATTACCAATATGATTCATAAAATTTGTGAGATTTGGATAGGAGAACGGAAGTTGATGGGAGACTTGATAAGTTTAGACCTTAAGGGATATGACGTGATTATAGGTATGGATTGGTTGGCCCGTTATAATGCTCAGTTGAACTGTAAAACTAAAGTGGTGGAATTCTCGATACCTGGAGAGGCAACTCTAAAGTTGGATGTGAGGGATAGGTTAACCTCGTCTGCACTTGTTTCGGGAATTTGAGCCAAGAAATTATTAAGTAAAGAGGCGCAAAGTTATTTAGCTTTCTTGATTAATACCCTTGGAGATAAGGTGAAACTGGAGGATGTGTTAGTAGTGAATGAATTTTTCGATGTCTTCCCCGACGAGTTGAAGTTGATGCCACTAAAGAGGGAAATAGAATTTAAAATCGATTTGGTGCTTGGAACCGCTCTGATACGAACCCGATTCTTCAAGGACCACTCGAGAAGAAATCGAATCGATCAGGCAGCAGAAGGATCTATCTTGATCAGGTTATGGGTACAAAAGACGGATTCTAAACCAATCAAGGACAACTCGAGATTGTTTAGAACGGTAGAATGGCGCCACAATTCAACATGGTCTTGAATTGATAAGCCAAAATTTGAACAAAGGAGACATGACTCACTTTATATCAAGGAACGTTCCCAAAGGAACATGAAAGAGAAAAACTCTCAAATTTTATTGATAATTGTCTTACCCTTGAAAATATCATAAGCTTGGCTATTTATAGCCTTACAAGACTCAAAACCCTAATCTAAATTGGAAACAATAGAACTTTCCTTATTTGACTTGACTTCTAAACTTGACACAATTTCCTAAATAAATTTGGAAGCAATTAACTACTTCCCTAAAACTCTAATTCAAGTAGAATAGGAAACTAACTCAAAAGCCTCCTGTATTTTCACATTTAGTCCCTGGACAAACCTTTTTACCCTTCTTTGCTCCGTAGCTATCAATTCGGGAGCAAACTTAGATAGTTTTGTGAACTGAGTCTCATACTCAGATACACTAATCGTCCTCCCTCTTTTCCTGAACTATCGGCGGTAGATATTTCTCATTAAACTCCCGCACAAAAGTTAACCATGTCCATCAGTTCCTTCTCTCTCCCATTTAGCCCGAATCACGTTCCACCAGGCCCTAGCTGGTCCTTTAAACTGAAATACAGCGAAATGCACATGCCTATCCTCCGTATAGTTTAAGGCAGCGAAAATATTGATTATCGACTCTAACCACCTCTCAGTTGCCTCAAGGTCTGGCCCTCCCAGGAACTTAGGAGGGGGAAACTTTTGGAATCTCTCTAGAGCCCTATCTTGCCCCATGTCGAGATCCCTGGGTTGATGAACAGGGGCTTCACCCTACTGTTCTACTAGTCGAGCAAGTATATTGGTCATTTGCTGAATTGCCGTTGCTACCTGGTCCCCCCCTTCCGCTCGGGGTCCAGGTTACGGTTCAACTATTTCACCTCTTTCCTCTCTCGGTTCTCGTATAGGTTCTTGTGCCTGTCTAACCCCACGGCCACGGCTAGAACCACGTCCTCGGGTAGTGCCACGTCCTTGACTCCGTCTACCCTCCATACCTCTTTTCCTATATAAGTATAAGCAAAATAAAGTAGCTATAAATGCCGATAAAAGCGTTCTCAAATCATAAAATGAAAATAATAGAACACATCGGAAATAACATACTTTATATACATGTCAGAGCAAGTCACATATCCTATGGGACATTAACCTTAGGTATTGCTCAAAACTTGACGAAGTACAACCAATTATGTACGCGTGACTAGTAAGGGCCCCCAATCTCACTAATGTCTCAATATATCCCAAGTCCAGACTATTCGCATCCTCCTTGCCTTGGCTTTCGCCATCCAAACTTATCCTCATATTACCCAGGATATCAACTTATCATAAAGGTATCACTCTTTGGTACTCGGGTACAGGAATCCGAAAATATGATAATTCACCACTCGAGTTAGCTAGGCTCAAGAGGAAATCAACCACTTTTGAGATTCCTACCCAACATACATATCAAATGTTCCCGACAATAGACATTTATTTCACACTTAACAAGCCAATCCCCACAGTCCGAGAACCTTCTCCTGGCACGATCTCGATAGGAGCTTCGATACCATCTGTGATGGCCCCACCTCTCCCTAAGGCGAACCAAAGGGTTCGGCGGACCGCCTGCCCAGCTCTCGCCAGGACTCACTCACTCATAGCTTAAGATAAATAATGTACATCCATAGAAAATAAAAAACACATCTACTTCAACTTAATATATACATTGATACTCAAATCCAGATACAAAGTTTTTACACACCAAAATACTTCAAAGTGCTTACAATTTGAGTACAATCAACCCTAGTCAGATACTAGCGTGAGTACAATTTCAAAATTCAAAACAACTAGACTACGCTAGTCTGTACACGTCTCATGCCTCGCTCGTACCCCCTGTAAGGAAAACAAATGACGTGAAATGAGCTAAAAGCCCAGTGAGGTTCCAAATAACAAATTGACCATTATTTGAACATGTAAGTATCACGTAGCAAAGTAGTGAGCATGAAAAGTTCATAAAAGTGAGCAATAACACTTCAAGTAGCAAATCTCAAACTGAGCGAAGGTAAAGTTTTTCTTTTAAAGTGAAGCAATAACACGATAAGTACTAATCATTCCAAAGTATAAGGATACGGATAGCTCTCAAGAGCCAAATTTCCATTGCATCACCAGAGCTTGATCAAGTAATAGTTAACACTCCGTCAACTTTCAGGTAAGTAACCAATCTAGTAGAGCACCACTTAAACGACTCTCCGTCCACCATCCAAACCCCCTACTGGGCCCAAAATCCTCAATAAACACTGGTGGTAATACTCGAGTATACCGATTTGTCAAGCAGATATCACTCCACTCGACAAAACAAAAGACCCAGGGTTCGTTACCCAAGCAACCAGCCTTTGCCGCCTCGACTCGAGTAATTCGCCACAGGGTTTCTGGAATTCCAAGAAGTGCGTACCATATACACAAATATATCAAATCCATTGCAACAATAAACAAGTATATCTCATATTAGGGCAAGTGCGATAAAGTACACTCTTACCCGATCAAACAAATGACATATCATTAAATCACATTGGTCAAGTATTGAAAACAAGTGTCCAGTTCAATCAGGTATTTGGAAGCACTCACCAAAGGTCTAGTGCCTCTCAAAAGTCACGTTCAGGTCCAACTCCTTGGTTGGAGTCCAAATCTGCGATAAAATATCATTTGCAAATGTAAAACTCTCTAAAGTTTGACACATAAGAGTTTCGCTTCAAGAAAATCAAGTAAATGCAACTCGTTTAAGTAGTATTCAAGATACTGATCAAATTATGAAAAGGTCATGCTCGCTCTTAAAACTTTGAAACTCTGAATCAATTATACTTTGAAATACCATTTGAGTTGAAAGAACGAGGAAAACGTATTTCTAGTACTCGTTATTTCATTTCCCAAGGGTACAAGTTCGGCCAAGTTCTAACTCATATATCTCGATGAAAGAAGACGCAAATATCCTAGATGGTTCACATGGTATTCGCTCTCAAGCCTTACTCAAGTCGCAAGTGTCTCTACCTAGTTCTCGAGCGTAAATTTGGGCAGCACGCCCTTTGTATTTATCTATTTTCCAGCCATTTATGGCTTCATTCTTTTCCTCAGTCAGTTCCAAAGTCATACACAAAATCATCTCATTTCCATAGCCGGTCAATAGGCTCAAAGTCATACAAGTACAAAATCAAACTAGGAAAATGTCTGGAAATGAAGTTTAAGTCATCAAACAAAAAACAAATTTGCCGTCACTTAGCGTAATGGGCACAACCGAAGCTACGCTTATCGTATTAGGGTGAAATTTATATCGTTTCGAAGCTAAGACAAAGGCTTGTAACTTTAATGAAGACCACTCAATCAAGTTCACAGTGTATCTAGGTCAAAATTTCAAATTATAGAACCAGAATATCACATTCGGGCTAGTTAACCGCACTATGCGTAAACGACAATAACTCAGGCTACCGAAGTCCGATCAAGGCGTTTTTAGGGGAATTGAAAAGCTAAGACATAGCGCTACAACTTCTATGTTTTGGCCAAATGCTAAGTCAGTACGCATCAGAGTGAACAGATGCGGTAAGATTGGTGAAATGTCAAAACTATCCCTAAAGTGCTACCTATGGCAGTCAGGGGTATTTTTGTATTTTCACATGCTAAAGTGCTTATATTGAGCTGAAATTTTGTAGGAAGCTATAAAACATCATTCTCTACAACTTTCATGTTTTATTCTAAACCTAATTCGGCCTCCAACCTAGTCAAACAGAACTGGTCAGAACAGGGGAGGTGAAAAACTGAAATCTGGAATTTGGGGTTTCCATGGGAAATCTCTTCATTTCTTGCTTATATCACTACCACAACCTCTTATACAAGGTTATAACCATCATATACTGGCTAACCAACAAGAAATATAGTTGAAAACCTCAACCCTAACTCAAGAACATGCACCATATCCATCCAAACCTTTGAAATAACTAGCATTAACCAAAAATTTAAGGTGCTATACCAACTTAAGCAAGATAAGGAAGAAAATGGTAAACAAGCATTATTACCTTACCAAAGCTGCTTTCAAGAGTCACCCTAGCTTTCCCTTCCAACTTTTACCAACACCCAACTACTTAAGCACTCAAAGGAAGATTTAATCGGTTTAGAATCTTGTTTTTCTCACTCAAATGGTTCAAACTCAAGATGAATTTGAAGCTCTCTTTCTCTTTTTTTTTTCTCTCCTAAGCTCGGCCAAATGGGTGAAGAAATGAGGAAGAATGAAGGCCAAGAGAGGTTAAGAAGGTTAGTCTAAGGTTGGGTCAAAGGTTCTTGGATTGGTGCCACTTGTCACCACCAATTTCCATCTCAAAAATTTGTTCTTTTCTCTTGTTTTCTTGGTCAAAAAATTCGGCTACCATGATCAGATTTTGGCTGATATTTAAGCTCTAATAATAAGGAGATTAACTTGAGAAAATGGTGTCAAATGGTGTGTTCAATTGGTAGCCAATCGGTAGCGAACGATACCCGTCGGTTCTAGCTATTTTTTCTTAAATCGCGTATACTAAGGTTTTAACCTATAATCCACTAACTTATTATTATCACTTCTAATCACACACTTAATATCATCTAAAACTCACTCTTAATCACCGAATTTAATCCCCACTCCGTACC